TGCTGTATTTCTTGCATGGTTTTGTCCATGTTTTTTAGGTTGGTTTTGGCCAATTCTTTATTTTCTCTGCGAGACATCAACTTGACACTTGGACTCTTGCCCCACAGGAGACACGTGGTATGGCGTGATTCTGTGGGTGTTAGGAGTTCTGGGTCAGGGCTAAAATCAGAGTGCGCGGATATTTTTTCATCAGAGCCTGATCTCTGGTTGTTACGCCATACTGACGAGCCCCAAAGAGGCGAAACAGCTGTCTATGGCTACATCCCGCTCTGTTTTGAGTTCTTTCGGTGTCGTGTTAATGTCTTGGAGAGTTAATTTTCACGTAGTACGATCAGCATTGCACAATTCTGCTTGCAGAATTTAATATGTCTACACAAACAGCTACAGAAAACTTCTATTGCTAATGTTTTATCGGTTGGGAAAAAATCAGAAAGTCTTGTTTGCGCTTGCCAACGCGACAGTTAGCAAGCCTTTCCGCGCGAGTTCGTCGAGAAAGTTGCATTGGAAAAGAGCTTGCTCCAACGTTCGCGCAAAATAACTTGTTTGGAGACGCTTGCTTCGCAGGCTACGCGACAGTCTAGACAAATAATTTTACAGTTGAATGGTTAGCCACACATTTTGAATCGATATGGTTCCAAGCCTACCCTCGTCCCAGAGGTTTTCCTTGATTTTTCTTCGCGAAAGAGATCAAGAGCAAACCGCGAAGCGGCGACAACGAGTCGCGAAAGCGACGAGGAGAGAGAGAAAAACCTCTGGTTACCTTGGCCTCGAATCTCACTTTCATGCTGACGACAGGGTCAGGATCTGACCCTCGGGCGTTGATTGGTTGATAGTTTTTCAAACGCGCAAACCAATTTGATCGGCTCGTTTAATTGTAACTACCGAGGGGACGCTGAGGATTTTCACACCTCATTTTGCCTCTCTCTATTAGGGAAGAAAATTGTTTGTATGCTGCACTCGCAATAACATTTGCACGGGACCAAGGCACGTAGAGGCACGCCATGGATGTTGTTCGTGAAAGAATATTCGAAGAAATTTTGACCTCGGTACTTAATGAGCGCTTTCCCGAGTCTCACTGAGCAACAAAAGAAAGCTTTGTTCGCTGCGTTGAGTCGAAAGGATGTGTTCACCATTTTATCAACCGGACATGGAAAGTATATTTTCTGTTACAATACTGTCATTCCATTAAATAAACTAACTTGTTTAGGGCAGCAAAATAAAAAATCTCCGAATACGGAATGAAAGTTTCCTTGTAGGAAAAAAAACATACAACTTTGTACAAGTGCTTAATCATTTTTGGTGCAGCTTGATTTTCCTGCGACGCCCAAAAAAGATCTAACCGACGCTATTTTTTTTGGCATAGACCTATTCGGCTAACTCAATGTTGTACCCAATTCAAATCTCCCGGGGATAAGATTCTTTGTGTATTTCATTTGCATTATAATGTGGCATTCACATTTAAATGATATGGAAATTCCTGAAACAAAACGTTTTATTCCCAAAGGGTTTGAATTGGGTACATTGAGTTAGCCGAATAGGTCTATTGGGCCAACAAAAACCTCTGAAAGTACATTCCGAACCTTAAGGGTTTGTTGTGCTGCATGACTCTTCCTAGCGTCGTTGTTCCACAAAAAAAGGAAATGGAGCCACCAAACCAAAATGCGAGCCAGATTGCCAGAATACATATCAATATTACTATTTTCAGGGGAATGCCCCCGAATCGACGCGAACGGCGCGCCCCGCAGAAGTAAACAATGTAATAAGCGCGATTGATAGACTCTTGCGAACTTTACAACTTCCCGCTGGCACACTGCCAACAGAACAGATGACAATGTTTGTGAAAAATCCTTATTATTATACCCAAATAAATTCTGCAAATCCTGCAGCATTCGTTTGGAACAATGTCGGTTTCTTTATAAAGTGGTCTTCTTATTCCTGGACTATTGTCGCCCATCGTTAACACATGCTTTAGCTTGACCCCGATTAACAAATCACTCTTTACCACCCAAGTGAAGATGGTTTGTTCACACCATAATTTCCCCAGGTCTACCCCCACTTAAAAAAATAGCGGCTGATAAGCACGTGTTTCCTAAGTTGCCATTGGTCACTCTTTTTATTAGCAATTTGACGCGTTTGACAGCTGTCGTCTGCATGAAAGTGAGATTCGAGGCCAAGGTAACCAGAAGTTTTTCTCTCTCTCCTCGTCGCTTACGCGACTCGTTGTCGCCGCTTCGCGGCTTGCTGTTGATCTCTTTCGCGAAGAAAAATCAAGACAAAACCTCTGGGACCAGGGTATTCCAAGCCTTTCTTTCGCCTCAACGGAAAAATGTGACTTATGGTCAAATGATCATCTGATATTTTAATTTACCTAAACGGGCGAATTTAACACCCCAACGGGCGAAGAATACTTTGATTAATTGCATGTGGTACCGAAGTCGTTTTAGACACAAATCTGGTTTGCTTCAGACCTTTCCTCCCTTTTCTCCAGAGACCAGAAGGCCAGAGTCAGCAGTTTAATCCCAACAGAATAATTTTTGCCCGGCACATCACTTCTTCTGAACGCAGAGAGAAAAACCTATCTCCATGAATTACGGAGGATTTGATGGATATCTTCGCATCTCCATTTATTCGCGAATCGGCAAATAGAGCCAAATAAATATAAATCTTTTATGTTCCTCGAGATTCACCACTAAAACGCTCTGATTCGAGACCTTGACGAATACTTCCACATGCAAATAAGACATCTAGAAAATAAAAAAAAGAGCAATTGCTAAACATTTGCCTCGTTTATAATCTGTTTGCACTATGGAAATTTACTCGAAATTTCGATCTCCTCAAGGTGCGTTTTACGTGATGTTATCCCATGGGAGTGAATATCCCGGATAATAAGGACATCAATCGCGTGCACATGCTTCTGATCTTACATCCAACAAATTTTGGCTTTTTCCCACTATTGTAGAAAATAGTGGCTCACTCGCATAGCGATCGCCAGCAAAAATAAGAAATTGTCGTTAAGACGCCAAAACTACCATGTAACCTTTAAGAGGCGGTCCGTGTAAGAACCGACCACTCGAATTTCCGTGGGAAACAGAATTCCTTCATTTTTTTTCTGCGACATAATTAGCCCATTCCATTAACAAATATCGAATTTGTTTGGCTCATAGTGCTTTTTTTAAAAAAAATTGGGCGGCGATTCGCCTGGACGGCCCAAAGCTGTCATGATCGTCTTTTTTAAGGTCAAATTTAAGTGTTTTGTTCAAGGCTCGCAAAAATTTCGCATTTATCCAAATAGCATAAAACAAACGCATGATTTTAATTCATGCTTCCTTTATTCAAACAAGGTAAAATATTTAAATTCTGACCCCCAAAAAAGGAATTATGATGTTTTGAAAATACCACGTAAGGCGTCCTTGAAAAAAATCCGCGGTTATCCTAGTTTTGAAATGAGCTTTTTTAAAAGTCTGACGTTATCTGTAGTCTTAGTCACTATCCCTGTTAAGTAATAGGGCTAGTGTATCGAAATCAAGAAAAACATTTTTGGGCACTGTTGATTACGAAGCACAAGAGTTCGATAAAGTTGGGTAACAATCTACTGTAATTGTGCGTATGACGTAATTTACGCATTTTCTTGATCCCGAACTTTCCTACTATAAAACTAAAAATCATTACTGTCAGGGAGCAACTATTTTTAAAACTAACTTAATGCTGGGGACAAACAGTGAATATCTTAAAATCTTCTACATATTGTCCTAAATTAAAATTGGGATGTTCCAAAAAAACGTAGCAGCTCCGGTGAATGTTGCTGTGTGAAGTTGTGGCTAAACAGTTAAGAAATTTCGTTGAAAAAATGGGTTAGAACGGTAAAAAAATTTAAAACACATTGTGAATAGATTTACCGTGTAATTACCACCTCAAAAGTTATGACACGATCCAGCAAAGAAATAGTTTACCAAAATGTACCGAATTTTCTAGCCACAAGTTTTTGCGTGCAGACGACATCATTTATATTGTGTCTGAGGATGTCAATTTCAGATTTCAGTTTGCAGTGCAAAACATGTTGGATGTTATTTTATCGAAGCTGAAACTACTTATCAGGCTTAACGAGGTAAAACAAACAAGGTACAAAAAAACTGGCTACTTTTAAGAATAAAAATGTTTTGCTGGTTTACTAAAAATTTCTTCAAGTTTTTAATTCAATTGAAGTTAATTTTTCTGGCGTCGTTCACTTAATTTAATATCGTATGCAAATTTGCAACACAAAACGTAGAGCGTATTTACAGTGTGCCGAGATAACCTTCGCAGATAGAATGGCTGCATTTTGTTCTTTTTCCGCATTAACAGGCGGAAAATGCGGAAGTAATCGAGGATGTGTCGATTTTGTGTGCTTGAATAGTTGCAACGCTGACATTAGTTCACACCTAAGAATCACCACCTGTCAAGGGAAAATGTTTGTGAAATGGATCTGATACTGGCAAGGGCAGGTCTGTTAGAACTCACTGATGATCAGATCAAGAATATGACGGTTTGTCCAGTCCATCGTTACACTTTGGGAAAATACTGGCAAGCTCCAAAGACCTGCCAGTATCCAAAACATCACGGGAAGAAAATGGCAATAGCCGGAACACATGTTATTAATTTCAAGACTGCAAGGGAGATAAAAAATATCTTTGGAGAAGCCGTTCCCGTTGGCTCGCGTAAGTACTATCAGACTAGCAACTATAACTGTTTTATGCTTTCATTTTATAATTAACATATCAGAATTAAAGGGTTTTGTCTTCCTTAACATTTCAACTAAATACTTTCGTTCGTAATTACTTAAAAGCGAGCTGTAGACTGAGTGCCAAAACCTACGCGATGCTAAACGCTATCTCAAAACTGACTACCGTGTACATTGTCAACAGCATTACTCTACTTGCGCTGACCACTGTAGAAAGTTTGCGCTTAGTGATCCTGTTGATCCCGAGCTCCAGCATCCTTGTCCGCATCAGCATCAATCGACTTGCGAGCAATGTCAAGGGTTGAAGGATGTTCTAAAGGAAGTGAGAATAGCGATTGAAGGGTCATCATGGAAGCCTTACAGTTGCGAACAACGAGAAGATGTCCTTTACGACTTTGACCGTGCACAGTCAGACATCTTGCTGTGGAAAGCGCACATTGTACGCTCAATAAATCAGGAGGAGGCGAAACAAGATGCACTGAAATCAGAAGACCCACAGTCAGCCATTCTGATCATGGACTGGGCCATGAAGTTCCTCCAAATAAAATTTCGTGAGAAACAGTCTGAATGGTTCGGCAAACGGGGGCTCAGCTGGCATATTTCCACCTTTATAACTAAGAATGTTGTCTCTGGAAAAATTGAGCTGCAATCGTATGCTCATATCTTCGACTCTTGCCAGCAAGACTGGTACGCAGTATGCTCGATCATCGAAAACACACTTGAGGTTGTAAAGAAAGAACATCCCCAGATTACCCAAGTGAACCTAAGGAGTGACGAAGCAGGCTGTTACCACAATAACTTTCTCTTAGCCGCCGTTAGAGATGCCGGAAGACGAGTAGGCATTGAAGTAGCACGGTATGATTTTTCCGAGCCGCAGTATGGAAAAGATATCTGTGATAGAATCCTTTGTCCAATGAAGTCATCCATCCGACGATATTGCAATGAAGGACACGATGTCGTTTCTGCGAAAGACATGCGTGTAGCGCTTTCAGAACGTCCTGTTCAAGGTACAACTGCCTCCGTGTGCGCAATGAATGAGACTCAAAAGACACTCGAAGTACATAAGATAGAAGGTTTCAGCAAGTATCACAATTTCAAGTTTGAAGTGAAAGGAATTAGAGCATGGAGAGCTTATGGTGTTGGACTAGGCAAGTTTATTCCTTACCGAGAGGTCATAACTGAACCTCATGTTCCTACTGGTCTCATTGTGCATGAAAACTTCTTTCCTCTCAAAGAAGCTCGAGTATATAAGAGAGAGACAAACAGTGAAAATGAACAATGCAACGGTCTTTTCTCTTGTTCTGAGCCCGGGTGCAACATGGTTTTCAAGAAATTCAGTGAACTCGAAAATCACCTTGATGTTGGTGAGCGCAGCCAAGTTCGCGGAAACTCTGATAAGGTGTATGACAAGCTCAGAAGAGACTGGGCGGAGAAATTTCGTACTGTTGATAAGGACGAAGAAATCAGAAGCGTGCCTGAAGCAGTTGTAGAGGAGCATCACGAAAAGAATAAAACTGGCCGCTCTTCCGAGTGCAGTGACTTGCAGACTGGATGGGCTCTACACAAACCCCGAAACGAAGCTGTGCGTTTTCCTACCGAGGTTAAACAGTACCTAACAACGAAATTTGATCTTGGAGAAAGAACTGGCATCAAGTCAGATCCCGCAAAAGTGGCAGCAGATATGCGAACTGCAAGAAACCCAGACAGTTCTCGGATGTTTGAGAGGAAACATTGGCTCACAAAGGGTCAAGTACAGGGATTTTTTTCGAGGCTAGCGGCCTCGCGAAGAAGCAAAGCACATCGGAAAGCGCTCAATGAAGACGTAGAGGCGGAACAGGAAGAGCAGGAAAGACGAGCCACCCTGGAAGAGGTAGCCACCCACCTTGGTCCTAAGCATCCGATCTGCTATGATTCATACTGTTTATGTGACCTTTCACACGAGAAGAAACTTGAAACATTTAGCGTTGCTATGCTCAAGGACATGTTGAAATACTTTGAAATTCCTTTTAGTTCTCGCGATAGAAAAAAATTCTTGTAGCGAACTTATCGGAATTTCTTGAAGGCTGTGACTGTAACCAGCCACGTTAAGGCACAAACCGCTATTATAGTAACCAACAGGGTTTTTCAACCTCGAGTTCAAAAAGATCGTGGAGGCAGTTATTTTTCAAACACTTGAAAAGACGTTTTAAGACCTTTATACTTTTTGAAATTCCTTTTAGTTCTCGCGATAGAAAAAAATTCTTGTAGCGAACCTATCCGAATTTCTTGAAGGCTGTGACTGTAACCAGCCCGCATTAAGGCACAAACCGCTATTATAGTAACCAACAGGGTTTTTCGACCTCGAGTTCAAAAAGATCGCGGAGGCAGTTATTTTTCGAAAACTTGAAAAGACGTTTTAAGACATTTTTACTTTTTGAAAAGTCGAATTAGTAAAGAACATGTTTTTTTGTCAACCGTACGAAAAAGGTACATACGCGTGACAAGCTAAAAGACTGACATTCACGCGTAGCCAGCGTGACGGGAAATTAACACTGTTCAGATGATTTGAATTTCGGCTGTAACGTACCGGGTGTTTTTAATAAAATGTGTAATTCTTTTAAACAGGACTCACTTTCGTCAAATAATTATATGCTTAACCTGAATGAAAAGCTTTTCTTTTTTTGTTGATCAGGAAAACCTACGACCAATTTAATTGAATGAAATTTTGTAAACGGCCTTTAGAAGTAAACTTAGACGACTGACAACAATACGCCGGAATCTATAATTTCGACTATTAAACTTCGCAATTCCTAGTTTCGTGTAGCATTTGGTAAGTTGTTAGCTGTTCACAGTTTATCTCGAACAATAAAGGCCACTTTTAAATATATTTGCTCTCTCGGTTTGATTTTCAGTGGGAAAGTTCGGAATCACCAAAATGCGTAAATTACGTGGATACGCACAATTACAGTAAAATATTACCCAACTTTATCGAACTCTTGTGCTTCGGAATCAACAGTGCCCAAAAATGTTTTTCTTGATTTCGATACACTAGCCCTATTACTGAACAGGGAGGGTGACCAAGACTCCAGATAACGTCAGACTTTTGAAAAAAGCTTATTTTAAAACTAGGACAACCGCGCATTTTTTTCAAGGTCGCTTTACGTGGTATTTTCAAAACATCTTAACTCGTTTTTTTAAAGTCAGAATTTAAATATTTTGCCCTTTTTGAATAAAGGAAGCATGAATTAAAATCATGCTTTTGTTTTATGCTATTTGGATAAATGCGAAATTTTTGCGAGCTTTGAACAAAACGCTTAAATTTGACTATCAAAAAGACGATCATGACAGCTTTGGACCGTCCAGGCAAATCGCCGCCCAAATTTTTTTAAAAAGCACTATGAGCCAAACAAATTCGATTTTTGTTAATGGAATGGGCTAATTCAGTGTTGCAGAAAAAAATGAAGGAATTCTGTTTTCCGCGGAAATTCGAGTGGTCGGTTCTTACACGGACCGCCTCTTAAAAACCGAAACAGCGCTCTTATTGGCTAATGAAAACTGAGTATGCAATTCAGTTATGTACTTGAGGTTTTAGCGTGTGACACAAAGTTGTCGAAAATAAATTTTAGGCGAGATTTCTCGTAAGCTCCGCGGGCAATTTCAACATGAGTCCGATGCAAGTCTTTTTTGCGATTCTGCTCTTTGTCTTTATGTAATGTGGCCTCCTCTTGTAAGTATAGATTAACCGCCAAAAATTGAGGTTTCAAAATTTTAGGAGTATTATACAAAAACTACGCAGACAAGGATTGTGAGAAAGGCCTGGCTAGTTTCTCCGGAAATAGTTTTCCTTGGTCATTTTAGAACGAAAAATACAGAAACTGATTTGGTTCTGTAGACTAATGTTCTTATGTTTGTCGAGAGAAAGAGAGAGCGTCGTTAACAACTCAAGCCTGAATTTTTTCAGGTTCTTTTTCAGCCGCTTTGGTTGTTCATTCTACTGCGAGGATTATGTTCACTTTCATACCTTTATCCGCAGTTCAAAACTTGATTCATTTCATATATATATGTTTTAATTCAAACATTACCCAAAAAGAGAACACGCACTTAAAGCAGTTAAGGGAAAAGCAGGCTTTCGAAATGGAGTCACTCTTTTCAGGAAATTAGACAATTGAATTACCAATTTCCCTCTTAAGAAAATTCGTGAGATTTTCATGTGTTAGCTTAATCTTACATCTTTGTACATCTTTGTACTTATACTAAATGTAAGCGAAGGAAAATGAAGGGTGCAGAGCAGGTGTTTATTCTAAATGATAACATGACGTCACGGAAGCCTTACTGTTAAAAAATTTAAAATGTAGCGTAAACCAACCCCAGTTTATAGTAAGGTCTCAGCTGCTGTACTAGCCATTTCTTAGCCATCGTATTCTGTCGATTTTCCTCTTTTCCCTTTAGTATCGCCAGTATTGGCTGTAAGAATTTTTTTTTTGGCTAGAACTTTTTTCCTTACACCCACCGTCACCTTTTTGTGGGTGAAAAGGGAAATTTTTAGGATAAAAGAAAATTTATTTTGTTAATTCTTGCATTGCTTAACAATTCACGCAAATTTTACAACGGCTCTTGCTGTGCAAGATAGCCTTATGGGGTTACGAAATTAACCTTAGACTGCTTGAAAGTTCAAATGTTATTTGAACGAAAAACTGCCCACATTAAAGCGGTCTGTTTATATTATCTAACTTCATGGTTTATTTGATAAAATTCATTTCATTTTCAAATATTTAGGAGGGAAGATACGTGGTCGGAGATATCAGATTTTGTTGTTTTGCAATACTTAAAAAAAGATCGAAAGATTGACCTATAAACATTTCAATGTATTAAATTTTATGTAAATTAAAAAAAAAAAAAATTCAAAGATCAAAACTTTGACACACACCCTCTATCTTCAGATGTTTTGCGCCTTACCAGGTGGATGTTTGAACTAGGTATGTGAAAGGGGTACCATTTGCCAATAGAAGGCATGAAAGGGGTTTCTTTGCCTTCTAAAATGACATAAAAAGATGCTGTTAAGAAGCCCTCCTCCCGGTCACTTCTACCTATATATAGGAAACAGGTGAAAGTAAAGCGTACAAAAATAAACTATACAGATGTATTTCGCCACCATCATTTCGATGATGATGATGAAAGGGAGCAAACTTTTGAAAACCAAAATGGTTTTCTCATTGGCTAGATAAAACCCTTAAATAAGCTTTATTGTTCCGTATGCAAATTCAGTTGTGTCATCATCAGGTTTTAAGGTGCGCCCCATTTTGTTGTTGAAATTAAATTTTTATTCAAGCTTCTTGCGAACATCTTTCTCTTGAGCTCGACAGCGGTTACAACGGATGACGATGCAAGTCTTTTTTGCGATTGTGCTCTTTGCTTTCATGGCCTCCTCTGGTGAGTGTAGATTACCAATTTGAGGTTTCAAAGTTTTATGATTCTACATCAGTGTACAGTGCACTTGGACAAGGGGCTTGATTACTCGAAAAAATTGGTTTCAATTGTCACGAAAAAATAGAAACAAAAATTTGGCTCTGACGACTTCGTTAAAAAGATAAAGCAAGTAATTTAATTGAAAATGTGTGAAGGAATGGTAAGAATTATTCTTAAAGGTACGATTATACTAGTGCAGAGTTGTTGTTCTCATGGGGCGGGCGTGTGTCCACATACGCACATGCGCCCTTGCGTACACGTACAGCTGAAATATGGAAAAAAAATTATTTTCTGAAAAAGAATTTTTATTATTAAATCGGGATGACTGATAAATTTTTCGAACTATGAATTTTTCAGTGACTTTCTGAGCTGAGACACTCATGGTCTTCTATCGTTAGTCTTTAGGCGCTAGATTAATTCCCCACGTCATAATAGAATACACGAGCTGGATTATTGAAGAAAAAGTTTCAAAGTAAGCGAAGTCAGTTTTTAAGTGATGTTTTCACTGTTATGAGATCCGAGATCTTTGTCGCAGCAAGGTAGGACCATTAGTCCAGTCGATAGTAAGGTTTCACTAATCACAAGCCTCTTAATTCATAGTAAGCTGTATTCTGTTGCTTTTTTAGTTACTTATTTTCGGTTTCTGTTGGTTGTGTCAAGGCCTTCTGACAATTGTTTAAACAAGATCACCTTTCAACTGTTAGTGAAGGAAAGTTTCACTAAAATGTAGTGTGTTAACTCTTGTATTTACTCTCCCTGTGCAGTATAGCCTTTCTTGGCCCCGAGGTTCACGGATAAAATGATACATTTCTTTTGTTTTATCCCACATGCGGGGGACCAAATGAATTTTAACATCTTGAAATTATATATTAGTGCATTAATTTTAGATAGCCTTGAAGTTTTAGATAATTAGAAAACAAGATGTTCAAATATTCAAATGATCAAATTGGACCTGTTAGCCCAGCAGAAAATTTTTGTTTTTGGTAAGGGTTCAAAGTGTGTATAAATTGTTTTGTTTTGTTTTGTTTGTTTTTTCACTGAAACTGCTCAAGAAAACAGATAAAAGCGATGCAGACATGTACATAACGAAGTCACTGAATCCTATTGTAAAAGACTTCATCAATTTCAATTAATGATTGCTGCCTGGCAACCAAGCTCATATGAGAGAGTAGTGAAAAGCTTTAAATAAGTCGAAGTTTTTTATCGTTACTTAGCGCAAACACAATGGTTCATTAAAACAAGAGAGGGCTACAATAGAAAGCCAATATTGCACCCTGTGTTAGTTGCTTTAATTTTCACTTTGAAATACGTTCACTAAACTCAATTAACGCAACTTGATAAAGGAATATAAAGGACAAGCTTGACAGATGTACAAGAAGAATAAGTCTTCGTTTACGTACCAATAACTAAATAGCAAATAAGTAAGTAAGCAACTAAGTCAGGGAAATAAATCGTCGAGTGTGTTAAGATAAAGACAGGCTCTCTGACTGTCGAGAGCCATCAAGCAATTCACTGACCAATGAATGATGTTAAAAAGCAGCTGATAAAATCCTCCCTCGGTCGAGAAAGCAGCTATTTACAGAACCCATAAAA